GCTGCTTGGATTTCTAGCAGTCATAAACATAATCTACAACTGATGCTTACCCATCTAGATGAAGAACATCCAGTCGGATAGATATACACAGAAACTTGTTTGCAAAAACCATTGATTTTTTTCAACATGTGGGATAAGGGTATGGGCGTTTTGTTTTTTAGTCTGTATAAGGAAGTGTGTGTGTGCGTGTGTGTGTGTGTGTGAGCTGGGGTGTGTGAATACGTGACAGTCCTATTTTCAAGGTGTGGATGTTTGGTGATAACGTCTCAGAGCATGCCTGAAAGAGCACTGCAAGATTATTTTTGAAGAAATTTTATTTTATTAGATCTAACTCTTCATAGTGTGTAAATGTTAGAACATTTTAATAATATTTTAAAACTGGGCTTTCCCGGTATTTCAAAAAGAAATAATATATCTGTTAACGTTATTGGAATGCTGCTCAGTTCTCTGATCAGTGCTTACGTTACGACTGTTGACGACTAACCAAAGTAGACGCCTGCAGAGACTTTAAAGTGTAAGATAAAGATGTATGCTGCCCGCCAGCTCCTCTCATTAGGAAAGTTAACTTATTTTACTCCATAATTATTATAGAAACTGTATAGATTAAAACTAGTATTTTTTTTTCTTGTACATTTGTGCAATGCACTGTATACAAGACTAGGTGTACAAAGCTAAAGGAAGACATTGTGGTCATTGATGGTAGAATATATGACTTGTAGGCTCTGAAGTCTGCAGAATTCAAGAAGAGAGATGCAAATGCATTTTTATATGTTTATTCAGGACTCAAATGTTCCGCCCTAAAGGAACCTGGGGCTGCGGGGGGAAATGAAAGCAAGCCTGAAGACTGACTACCAAAACATGCAATATACTTATTCACTGAGTCTGTAGCATAACATGAACTGGATTCCCTGTCCTTTTTTAAATAGCATTTTGTAAAAGAAATGAATGTAGTCCCACAATTCCTCCGATCTGAAAGGAACACCTTGTATTTTTTATATGCATCTCTTATCCACTGTGACTTTTCTTTTAAACTGGGCTCTGTGATTCCAGAGTTTGGAATGTAGAAATGAAATGCTTAGCTTTGCCTTTTCCTGGGGGTATGGACCCTGCCGGAAATGTAATTATGCTCAAGTGCATTAGCTGGAGGCACTGTGCGCCCCGTTGGACTGCTGACTACAGTTATGTTACCGATAAAATTCCGTAACTGGTCACGGCACATTCATAATCACTGTATTTTTTGACCCTGATAAAAAGAAATTATTTTGATGGTGTTCTGGTACTGTAAATGGCGTCCTTTAAATTATTTAATAGCATTTGGGTGTGGGGCAGGAAGAGAGGGCTGGTGTCCAGAGACACACCACATTTTACATCCTAGCTCACCATCCCCTACTTTCCCTGACCCTCCTTCTATCCTTTTGTTAAAATAAAAAGCATTGTAGTTGTTGGTCTGTGTTGTATTTTAAGAAAGGATGAATGATTATAGTGTGCATCATTTGGAAACTGTTCAGATTACCTTCATTGCCCTTAAACACAGTTTTCTGTAAAAGGAGGACAAAATTAGTTGACTGTTCAGATCGAACCTTTCAAACAGGTGAAATTTGCTTTTCCCATTTCTTTGTGTGCAACTAAGTCTGTTAATAGTGTAATGAAAATGAACACGCCTGCAGAGGTCAAGGTGCCGCAGTCATCGAGACCGTCCGTGGGCTAAAGGGTCTCCCTCGGGCCTGCCTTTCTCTGCCCCTGACCCTCTACATCCAGAGTGTGCACTCGCTGACAAAATACATCAAATGCTTAACTTGCTAAACACCTTATGTAGTTCCTATCTGGGCCCAGAAGCTTATTTTTGCTCATCGAAGCTTTTTCTTGAGCCCACTACATTTATTGTTTTTAATTGGTTTGTAAAATAACACCAGAAGAGAAGAGAGCTCGAATTTCCCTCATGCTGCTGCTCAAATAGAAGGCCAGCGTGTTTTTACACAACGTAGAAAATACTTCCTACTTCTCGTGATATAAAAGAACAGGTATGGTTACAACCTGCAATTCCCCTTAAATTTGGGAAGTAGTTACACGTTCTCCTAGAACAGACTCACCGATTCCGAGTGAGCAGGTCTGTGGGAACCGCTCCTGCACCACACCCGCATAGCCCAGGTGGGGGAAACAAGACAGTAGAATCAGTGAAATTAGGGTTGTTTTATGACTTTATAAACAGTTTCAAAGTGATCCACTGTCACTCTCGCAAATACAGGAAATAGGAAGGAAGCTAGAATCACTTCCCTTGACACCCAGACATGACAGTAATCTGGAGTGCTTCCTCCTAGCCTCTCAAATTCTTGCTCAGAAAAGCTCACTCACCACCTGCAGGCTGTACACTGCAGCTCGACCTCGGCTTCTCACTGCTAGAATGTCAGCACGGTAACTTAGGAAAAAGATGTTTGTGCCACGAGGTTTTTGGCCCAAACTTTCAGGAAAAAACCTTTCATTTTAACTTATTTATATTTAGAAACAAAACCAATTACCATATTCCAGGGTATTATTTTGCATAAAGGCACCATTAACTGCTTTCTAGAGCTATACTTTTAGCACATAAACAAATAAAAGAATTAAAAACATATATAGATACAGAATTAGTATGACCTATGTATAATGTGCATCCTTATTTTTCCCATGAAAAGTTGGGCAAAAATGTACATGTTATTCATGGGAAAATATGGTAGTTTGATCCTTGCTCTCAACTGTATAACAGGGTTAGTTGCTCTTAGGGGATTAATGGTAAACAGTATTAAAAGTTTACCCATGTTAGTAGCCAGTGAATTTCTCTTAGGACCCACTGCAGGTGTCTGCTGTTCTCTCACTCAGCAAATGCCCGAGTGCCTCCTGTACACCGCTTGCAGCGGTGTGAGTGGAATGAGTCTCCCGTCCTTGCCCTCCCCCAAGTCAACAGCAGGCGTCAGGAAGAAGCATCACCTCGCCAACACCCAGAGTCACTGCCACTCAATACTCTTTGGCGCCCTCCCCCACGGCCACCATTTTACCTGTTCTTTGACGCCCCCCTCCCCCAAGGCCACCATTGTACTTGCTCTTTGCAGGGCTCCTCACTGGCTTACAGGCAGCCATGGGACAGAGAGGGTTTGTCCTCGTGCCCCACCCCACAGCCTTAAAACCTTCCCGTGGGTTTTCACCGATGACGGGCGCCTGAGCAAGTTCCAAGACGTCCCAGTCCGAGCCTACCACTCCCACCTGCTGCCACGGCCCCCCTGCCCTCTGCAGCGCCCTGCCGCTGTGGGCGCCACCTGGCATTCCAGCCTTTGCGCAGGTTTGTTTAATCTGGAAAAGGTCTCCTTCCCCGCTTCGCTTAATCATCCAAACGTCAGCACAGCTGAAGTCATTTTTTAAGGAAGCCCTTCCTACCCTACCCAACTCAGATCCTCTATGACAGTTAACTCTCTCTTCCATATCAACATGGTAGATCTTCCATTTTATTTTTTTTAGTGGGGAGATGAGTGGCCATCTACCTTCCATTCTAGAAGCTCCACCAGGGCAGAGGCCGCACGCAGGCTTGTTTAGCAAGTGCAAAGCTGACTCAGCTGCTGGCCTCCACGCTTCAGTTCCATAAATAGCACCTGGGGTGCCTGTTAAATGTTTAATTTAGCCATTCAACAGGGGCAGTGGCCTAGGAGTCTGCATTTTCAGCAGCACCTGCCTAGGTCCATAAGGATACAGAGGGCCTTTCCCACTGCTCTAAGTCAGGCGTGCCAAACTCATTTTCACCGGGGGCCACATCCGCCTCTCAGTTGCCTTCAAAGGGCCGCATGTAATTTTAGGACTGTGTAAATGTTAACTACTCCTTAACTGGGGGCAAGGAGCTCGGCGTTGCTGCCAGGTAGAAACAAGGTGTCAGGCGCGATCCAGCCCATGGGCCTGTTTGCCACCTGTGCTAAGGGCTCTAGAGACGTCAAACTCACTTGAGGATTTTATTCCTGGCATTTGTCTACACACAAGCGCCCAGTAGGTTCACAGACTTACAGGGCTCCTCTAAGGCAGTAAGGGTTAACTTGAAGGGGCCGCTCTGCTTAGAAAATCAGAGAGCAGCGCAGTGAGCACCCAGTGCAGACGATGTGGCTTCTGTGACCAGGAGGCAGTAGCCCTCGACCCCAATTCCACCCGGGGCCTGAGGCTCTGGCTCAAGTGCCACCCTCGGCCAGGAGAGCTCGGGCCCACCTGTTTTCTTGGGACTCACGTAGGAAGCTATTAGGTGTCCTTACAAGAGAATCTCTGTTGGAGAAAACACTTCGAGGTTACGGAACTGCAAGTCAGTAAAAACAAAGACTACTGCGGTCTTCGTCAACTCACTTGACAATCTAAATAAACTTAGGAGCCCTATTTCTAAATAGCCCCCACCTTTAAGTCCATGTAACAAAGTTATCTAACATCTTAAAGAAGCCGCCCTTAGCAACCCCGTCCAAGCCCCAGCTGTGAAATTGTAATTAACAACTCAGTTTTGTTCACGGCATGCCTCCTCACCCCTCACCCACCCCACCCCGCCACCCCCACCCAGGTGTTTGTCACCTACGAGACTGAGGTGGCAGGGATGCACTAAAGCTCCCACCCAGTCGGCCAGTCCCTCAGGGTTACCCCCAGCTGTCCCAAGGACCACGCACTGCCTCCACATCCTGCAGAAGTATGCTTATTTTAATGGTGATCCGGCTTCTCTTTGTTCACTTCGTATCTTGTTTACAAGCTCCAACCCCGCAGGCTCACATGAGCGGTGAGTCTCACATCTGAGCCCCTCTAAATTTTTCTCAAGTGATTAATACGCCACAGAGTCTGGCTGCTCCACATGCAGTGAACAGACATTAATCTTAAGTGACAGGCCCAGACTGTTGGCACAGGACAAGCTTTCCTAAACCTTTATTTAAAAAAAAAAAAAAAGATTGTATGCAATTGTTTTGCAATACTTTTATTTCAAGGCTTTGTCAAAAGCAGCCTTTCAGGAGAAGGAAGAGGCCGGCAGGAGAAGGGGCTTGAGAAAAGCCCACGTGTCTGCCCCACTAGCACCCGGTCGGGCCTGGCCTTTTACACTCATTTAAATGATGTATTTGAAGCTGAAACTGCTGTCACAGGACAGGCGTTTGCCTTTGCATCTCCCACACAGGTCCTGGCGATGAGGCCGTTTAGGGTCGATGTGGCGGAGTTTGACTGAGCAGGAGCATCTAGTCTGCTTACAACTCTGAAAAATCAAAGTGAGAAGCAAGCACGTTCAAAAGGTAAACCCTTGGTAATTCCCTAGAACTTCAAGAAGCTTGCCAGTCCATTCCAACACTTATTGAACACATGAATAGTTATGAATGCACTCTGAGCAAGGCCCTGCGCTAGTCTGGCTGTCTGCATCCCTTGTAGCAAGGACAGAGTTATGGACAGAGGGGGTTTAACCATTTGTCGTAGTCCCATGTTGCACAGGGTTTAGCTTGGAATTGTGAGTTTCTTCTGAAACAACTTTCTTACAGGAAGTCTTTTCCAGCTCTCGAAGGATGGAGAACAATTAAACAGGGAATGGGAGTTAAATAAACGTATTGCAAAACAACAAAAGCTAATGTAAGGCTAGTGGCTAGTAGCAAGCTGTGGGTCAGGCCTGGCACCAGTGACCTTGGCCCTCACCCAACCCCAACCTACTGCAAATGACCTCAGGCTGAGGCCGAAGGTAAAGCAGCAACTGCTGAGCCCACAGAAGGGTGGTTGCATCCTACTTTAGAACCTCACCCTACTCTGCCATGGTCTATGGGAGTCTAAACAGTTTTCCACACTTAGCTTCCCACCATCCACCCCATGGTGATGTTTTCAACATCCAACTCGAGTCAAGCATGTTGATTAGGCTGCCTCAACTGGAGAGTGGGGCTCCACTCTCTGTGCTAATTGGCAAGTGTAGCCACCCCTTCTGTCTTGGGTTGCCTTAGCCCCTCAGCATAGCGCAATGCTTCCTTAATAGCGAATAAGCAATGTTACCACTTAACCCTATAAAGCTCGGCAACTTAGATTTACTTCAAAACAAATCATTCTCCTTCTGCAAGCTCTCAGACAAAACTGAATTTTAAAACCCCATGCTTACACTAAATAAACTGGGTATATGCTTCATAAAAAACATTTGGGCAGAACAGGCAACTTTCACCACCTCACATTAGTAGAACAGGGTCCTACTTTTCGGCTTGCTTTCTCCTACACTAGACTGAGCAGCAGGTGAGGCAAACATCCCTCCATATTTCAAGTGAGGTCCTGGTCTCTGAAATGTTACCACGATCGAGATTTGCAAGGGCAGAAGGAAACCACCCCCCAAGGGCCTGTTTCCCAGTCAAGTATTGTGTCCAAACTCCTGCCAAAAAGTTGTCAAAACCTGGAGGTCACTGGGAAACCTCGCCTCTTTGAGGAAACACATTCCGCAAACCACACCAAACCCCTCCACCACTCCCCAGTTCAGGCACAAAAATGCCAACACCCGACTTACCTGACAGATAATATCCTCCACGCGGTAAGGGTTGTAAGACTTCTGACAAGTTCTGCAAAACTGCTTGAAGTAAACCTGTGACGAGAGAGGAAAAACTTAAAACCTTCTTGACACTTATGTCAAAGGGTGCCAGTCACGTGGCGCTCACCTTGCTCGTGCCCTGCACGCACCACACGTAAGCACTTTCCCACCGGATGTTGCAGTCCTTGCAGTGATAGTAGCCGTACTTCTGCTCCAAGTACTGCAGAGGGGATACCACAGTGTAACCAACACGGCATCTGAATTTGTATCCATTTCAGAAGCTGAGAAGGACCTGTTTGCTACTTAAAATGGGCAACTTCCTTCAGATCATGGAGGAAAGAAGCAGGGTCAGTCTGAAACAGTCTCTACTCAGTAGTAATTAGGTGAGCCAATGGCCTAATTAAGCAGATAAGCAAGCGTGGGCCCCCAAACGTTTATATGCCAGATTAACTTGTTTCCTAAAGCAAATTACTGAGCAAGTAGGTGTTTTCCCTCAAACATGCAAGAGAAAACCCAAACCACCAGGGTTCTCTAAACCTCGAGATTCTGCAGGGAGGCCTCCTCTGTCGGAAAAGGTCGGACTTTCGAACACACACAGGTGGAAGTGGTTACGCTGAAGAAAAGGAGTAAGACTCTGCATCCTGAAGTACTTCAAGGAGTTCACCCAAGATTAAGTTCTCTGTGCTGCTAGTTAAATCGCCACTGAACAGTGGAGCTAGGAATCTGCATGGCGGATAAGCCATAATGCATGTGTAACGTGAATTAAAGGAGCATTGCCGTATCCTTAGGCTTTCTTCCATCCCGGTGAGAAACTAGGTGTAAACAAGTTTCTGGAGTTAGAGCTCTAGAAGGGAAAGGAACTCAGGAGAGCACTCAGAGCACTATCACAGGTGAGCAAATTAAAGTGCGGAAAGGTTAAGAATGAAGAAAGTAGGTATGGAGTTTATGCATAGCTCCTTGATTCACTCCTCCCCTCGCCTCGCCCGCCCCCACCCACCCAGAGCCTGGGACGGCGGTGGGAGAGACCGAAGGCCTCCTTCCGGCCTCTGGCAGCCTGCGCGTGCCTTCCCACTGCCCTGGACCGCAGCTGCCCTCTGTGTACCCCAGCCCTGTGGGGTTCAGCTGGTGTGAACCGGCCCTCCGAGCCTGCCCAATGCACAGCAGCCCAAATACTCAAAGCAGCGCCGCGTTTGAGCAGGGGTGCTTTCCAGGAGAGAGGAAAGATCCTGAGAGGCACTACAGTAGCTCTCGCTGCCAGCAGAAGCTTTGGAGATCCAGGCAAGAATCAGTTAGGAGGGAGCTGACCCTGGTAGTCGCCTGTTGGGCTTTTGCCACGTTAAGTTCGGACAGCCAGGTGGGATCCTTGGGAATCAGTTCTCCTGCCAACAAGTCCAGCTGCTGACGTTCAGCGGAGCACCCTCCCTAGACCACCGAACTCGCGGTCCACACAGGGCCGCGTGCCCACGACCAGAGGTTAGGCAGCAAATGTGCTCGGAATACGAATGCCACAGGGCGTCTCCCTCGCCTGACTTGGCGCTGGCATTTTGCAATCGCCGTAAACCATCAGGCCACAGTTGATTTTACTGTTGGCGGAGGAGGATGGCCGTGCTGCCCTCGGCGGCCGCAGAAAGGCGCACAGACGTGCTCCGCGCCGCACGAATCCGGAGCGGGCAGGGACCCGTACCTGGAGGAGACGCACGCCCCGGAGCCCCCCTTCGCCCCCCGCCGGTTCCCGGGTCGACTCGAGCCTCACCTGGAAGCGCAGGCGCTCCTTGCCCGGCTCCGGGCTCCGCTGCGACGACCTCGCGCCCTCGGCGGCCTGGGCGCCCCGCGCCGGCGGCGGCTGTTCCGGGCTCCCGGACGCGCTCCGCGGGGCGGCCTCGGCCGCCCGGGTCTCCCGCGGCTCCCCGCTCGCCCGCGTAGCGGCCGCGGCTTCCTCCTCCTCCTCCTGGGACGGTGGCGCTTGGGGCTCACTCCTCGCCGACCCCTCTCCCGGCTGGGCGTCTCGGGGCTTCGCGAGTGGCGGCCCTCGCCCTGCGCCCGGCGCCCCGGGCCTCTGCTCGCCCGCCGCGGCCTCGGCGCCGTCCAGGAAGGTGGTGAGGTGGCGGGAGACCAGGGGCGAGTACAGCGCGACGGTGCGCGGGAAGTGCACGGGCCGCGGGCCGCCGCTCGGGGGGCTGTCGCGCTCGGGGCCCCCGCGGGCCGGCTGCAGGGAGGCGGCGGCGCCCGCCGCGCCCTCGGGGCCCGGGCTGGCCGGGTGCCCGCCGTCGCGGGGCCTGCGCAGCAGCGTGCGCCGCCCGAGCGAGCACTGCACCGACGCGTCCCGGCGCGGGTTCACCTGCACGGCCGCGTCCCGGATGCCGACCTTGCGGAGCCGCGGGGCCAGGCCGGGGCTCACCTGCGACAGGAGGGCCATGAGCTGCGCCCTCTGGTAGTTGTCGAAGTACTCAGCGGCCATCAGCTGCCCGTAGCCGGGAAAGGACGGCGGGGCCGCCCCTGCCGAGGAGGAGGAGGAGGAGGAAGCCGCGGGAGGGTAGCCCCAGCCGCGTGGCCGCCAGCTGCCCCCGCCCGCTACGCCCTTGCCCTTGGCGGCGGACGGGTAAGGGTACGGGTACGAGTAGGCGGCGCACGCGGGGTACATGTAACCGTCCTGCACCTCGTCCCCCAGGGAAGCCATAAGCTCAGCCCCGGCCGCTGCAGCCTGCCGCCGCGCCCTAAATAGGCAGCCTTGCGGGGGCGGCCCCAGAGCCCGCCTCACCGACGCCCCCTTCCCGCCACCTTTGTGTCCCCGCGTCCCCGCCGGGAGGGCTGCTCCCGGGCCACCTCGGTGTGGAACTTTTCCACACTCGGAGGTCCACGCAAATACCTTTAGATGTTATAGAAAGAGGCTTTCCTTGCGATGCACGAAGTGATTCATAAGTGAACTTGCCCAAGGGGAAGAGCATTCCAACTAGGTAGAGCTCTCACCTGGAGTAGCTGAGCCAGGTGGTCCCCATACCTTGCTTGTTCCAGGTGTCTGCACCGCCCAGGAAGCTGAAACGAGGCTGGGAGCCTCTGGCTAGCGCGCAAAAATGCGAAGGTTTGGGAAGCTGTTTTGGTTGGCTTACCTATGACCTCAGGTTATAGGTTACTTAATTATCTCAGAGATGCTCCGAGAAGTTTACCTACACAGTAACCCTTTCAGTAAGTGTACTGGGGAAGCACTCTGGCCGACAGTCTTCTCCCCTGCAGCACGTGCCCCGCCCCCTCAGACTCACCCCCGCCCTCCCACACACACACCCTGGCCTCCAGGTACTGTGGAGTACCTCGAGGCTCTGATAACTATTCTTCTTCAGGGTGGAGAGTAGTTCCGCAAATTCTTCTAATCTTATCACCCCTCCGCAAGATAAATTTTTTTATGGTGCAGTTAACATCACTGCAGAAGACCAAGTCAGTCCCCAGTTGGAAAGAAAATGCTCTGTCCACCTGAAAAACGTTGTCTGTTCATCACCAATAGATACCAGATCAAATAAACAAATGCATTAATGTATATATTTTTTTTCTGATTTGAAACAGGTTTGACACTAAAATACTATATATTGTTTAATTGACCTGGTTGGGGATTTTCCTAAATACAGGTCAAATTTCAACATTGTCAAGTATTTATAAGTTGAGCTAGCACACATTTTTTTCCAACAATTACATTAAACTCAATTATGCTTTACAAATATAGCTTTTTTTTAACCAATATAAGATAGTGCACCAAAATTCTACATCTCCAAGACTCTGTTTTCCAAGAGTTTACAGATTTGAAACAGTCATAGAGATTGGTCATGGTTAAAACCAAACAGCACATTTCACTTGTTCAGGCTTCAGGTCAGCAGTCCCAGGTGCGAGTCATAGTACGATATTGATCTGTAATTTGTGAAAGCGCTTGGTGAACACACCAAGGCAACCTTACAGTGGGAAGATTGAAATTGTTACAAGTATATAACATGGACCAATTGTTACCCTTTATGTAAACCATATACACTAACACAGACTATAAATACGAAGCGACGCTTCAGCAGGACGGAGCTGCTGCATGTCTCCACGTTCAGAGAGCAGTCTGAGTGGTTTCCATCATGATTAAGTTGTCTGCTTTCACTGTGCCATAGGACGTGTCTGCCATTTCCTCTTCTTTCAGTTTCTTATAAGAAATATCTGTGTCTTCGTCTTCATCTAGAGGATCTCGCTTGTGTAATATTTCACTCCCATACATTTTATATAATAAAACAAAGATCCCTGCTTCTGCAGACTGGAAAAGGGCATAGAGCAAGGGAAACATGTACATACTTCCTATGAATCGAGGTGGAAAGGCCAGTTTGAGAATGGCAGTGCAGAGCTGCACATTCTGGCTACCTGTCTCCAGGCAGACAGTCCTCTTGCAGTTGGGTGGGAGGTGGAAGAGAGTGGCTAAGCCGTAGCCTGAAGCATAGCCTGCCAAAGGCATAATAATCGCCACCATGTACACGGTTGCAGGAATACTGGCCAGCAGCTCAGGTCCTAGCATAGTGCCGGTCATTATGAAAAGAACCACCAGCGTCACTAGCAGAGACCACAGGGAAACCTAGTGATAGAAAATGGATAAACAAACCATCAAAAAGAAGGTAGCTGAGAAGGAATTCAGGCAAGGAAATCCTAGGCCCTTGGAAGAGACCTTAGGCCCTTGGAAGAGCACCGCCTACTCTGACCTCCCACACAAAATGGAGATCTTGACCGCCACCTTGTCGGGAGGCCTCCAGAACCACGCTGCACAGCTCTAATGGTTCGGACGCTCCTCCTGCAAAACAGCCTCCAGAAGTTTACAGAACAGTTATATGGGGAAGGCTACTCTTCTCCACGACTGCCCCCAGGCATTCAGTCAAAAGTCTTGTTTTGGAATTGTGACTGTTCCGAGCAGGCACTGAATGCGTGAATGTGCCCCCTAATAACAGAGCAATGAGAACTGAGCCCCATAAACCAGGAGTGGTCTGATGAGTAGAGTGGACGAATGGACACTACTTTCCTGGATCAGGACCCATGTTTTCCATAAGAAATTAGCTCTAGTTTAGCCCTGGCTGGCGTAGCTCAGTGGATTGAGCGCAGGCTGCTAACCAAAGCATCACAGTTTCGATTCCCAGTCAGGGCACATGCCTGGGTTGCAGGTCACAGCCCCCAGCAACCGCACATTGATGTTTCTCTCTCTCTTTCTCCCTCCCTTCCCTCTCTAAAAATAAATAAATAAAATCTTTAAAAAAAAAGAAATTAGCTCTAGTTTAACACATGAGATAACAGGCTATTAAAATTTATGAAAACAAGTTTGTGATATTTTTCACCTTCAAAATACTTTATATCTCAGAGAACTAATAGCAATATCAAAAGCAACTACTAACTACCCTGGCTGGTGTAGCTCAGTGAATTGAGTGCGGGCTGTGAACCAGGCATCGCAGGTTCGATTCCCAGTCAGGGCACGTGCCTGGGCTGCAGGCCATGACCCCCAGCGACCACACATTGATGATTCTCTCTTTCTCCCTTCCCTCTCTAAAAATAAATAAATAAAATCTTTTTTTAAAAAAGCAATTACTGTTAGATTAAGTAAGAGAAAAAATGTAAACATAACCGGTGAGATGTTCGTTGCAATTTTGCAATTCCCCCGTTGTCACCTGTTCATGGGAAACCTCCCACCCATGAGTCTCTAGTGGCGCTGAGGAATTATTATAGTAGATGGATGTGTAATAGAGAACAACTGACTGTATAAAACAGTGTGTCATCTTGACTGATACATTTCAGTCATTCAGAAGACAGACTGTGTAAATAGCAAGTGGAAACCTAAAAGTTCCACTCCTAGGTCTTCAGACTGGTAATTAGCTTGTTCTTCTAAATGGGGGTGGGAGTGGGGTGAGAGGTGTTTGTGAGGGGGACGACAGATCCAGAAGAACAGTGTTGTTTCTGGTTGCCTGGATGTCGGGGGGAGGGGGGAACCCCTTAGGGGTGTGTGGGACTGGCATATATGATACTTTAAAAAGTTAGTTAAAACTCACCTGGGCTGGTGGAAAAGTCCACCCTAGAGGATGCTGCAGTTATTATTATATAAGGGACTCATGTTGCCCATGTGCAATTGGCAGAAACCAAACCATTATAAATCAAAACTTTTCTTATATTGAGTTTCAAAGTGTGCCCACATCAAAAGCTTGGACAGAAAATCTGACTCTTCGTTGTGAAAATAATGGCTCCAAAGTTTCCTTTGTACTATTCTAAGTCCTCTGGGTGAGCATTGACATTAAATGCTCATTTTGAAGTGTTTGCAAAAGTATAAAAATGTTATAAAGCATGTCCCATGAGTTTGCTGGTTCAGAAGAGGGGATAAGTTCAGCTTAAACTCAAAGTTAGCCAGTCTCCTTGAACTGTGTATTATTAAATATATTTATCTGTTTTAGCATGGAGATAACTTATTTAATTGACTTTCTCTTAGAATCCTAAAGCATTATAGTAAATGTCACATTAATAGCATTAGCTAAAAGATTAAGCTTAATATGTTCTTAACGTACTTCCAGGTTATCTATTGATATATTAAGAATATAATATATATGCAGGAATAGTTATAAAGGACACCTGCACAATAACGGAGGAGGGGGGTGAAAACCAGAGGGAGGTGGGGAGGGTTGGGGGTTGGGCTGAGGTGGCAAGAAAAGGCAGAAAACTATACTTGAACAACAATAATAAATATATAATATATAAAATATGTGTATATTTACATGTAAATGTATATTTATTACACTCAAATATATATGTTTATTATAGAACACAATTACTTTTACCTAAGGCTGGATATATGTACAGAAAAGAACTCTCTATTTTCCATATTAATAAAAGTTAGCCCCTCTGTATATTCAGATTGCTTTAGAAAATAAATTAGCCCTGGCTGGTGTGGTTCAGCGGATTGAACACCGGCCTGTGAACCACAGGATCACCGGTTCAATTCCCAGTCAGGGCACATGCCTGGGTTTTGGGCCAGGTCCCCAGTAGGGGGCGTGCAAGAGGCAACCACACACTGATGTTTTGCTCCCTTTCTCCCTCCCTTCCCCTCTCTAAACATAAATAAAATCTTTTTTTAAAAGTAGAACAAATCTGTATCTCTCCCTCCCTTACTTGCTCTCGCTCTAAAATTAAAAAAAAGAAATTATATTAAATATTGCAGTACAGAAGAAGAAAAGGAACACAAAAATTTAGTAATGGCAATACAGTTTGCATTATTTATTCAAAATCTAATTTTGTGCTTTGAAGTTCATATTTTGTGCATTCTATTATATTGCCATGATGTAATTTTTTAATTACTTTTGGTCTTATGAGTGTCAACTTCTTTTTAGAAAACAGCAGTCTACAGAATTACTCAGAGTTCTGCCAGTGAAAAAGAGAGTAATGCATTTTAAAATGCTATACAAGTTCCATTGAAATAACCTTATTTCACCTGTGTGTTTGTAACACACTAGTTGCTAATGGGACATGTGTCCATCGGATGCACTGCCATCTACTTCCCACATGACCCGTTTCCTCCTATGAGTATTGAGTTCTCTTGTGCTGTTTTTAATAAATCTATGTCTTGATGAAAGCTATAATTTTTTGAAATTTGAAGGTGAAAATTACCTTTGTGGCATAAACTTTTTTTTTTAAGTGTATCCATGCAAGGACAGCCAAAGCCTTTTCTTCCCTACCCCTTTCCCCCAAACTTCCTAGCATTCCAGCCGGGGTTCTGCGCACAAGGACTCCCTGCGTCTGTCACGTATGGAAAGGAGAGAGCGATGTTACCTTCACAATGTAGTCAGCCACCCGGTTGTATTTGTAGCGGATGAAGACGCCCAGCCCAATCGGGATGAGAGTGCTGCAGAGGGTCAGGGTGATCGCCCCTAGGGGCAGCAACTGCACCAGGGGGGTGTTGATCCAAGCTCGGCTGTAGATCCACACACACAGGGGCATCAAGACCAGGGCCAGCAGCGTGGAGGAGATGGTCATGATGATGCTGCAGAAAAGGGGAGGAACAGAGGTCAGAACGGGCCCTGAGCCAAAGGGCCTGGGAGGCACAGGCAAACCCTCCATCTTGCACCTTGGGTAAGAGGGGAAAGGGGGCGGCTGCAGGTCCCCAGCTTGAGGTCTGGGGAGAACCTACTTCATGGGGAGGGGGGGTTGGCGGGGGGGGGGGGGATGCCAAGTGAGCTGCATGTCCAAGTCCACCTGAAACATGAACTTCGGGCAGAGGAAAAAAAAAAGTACCGTTGCCCCTGGCTTTGTAAAACCTATGACGCCTAGATGGTTTTGAGGGCAAGAAACACTTTTTTCTTTTTCAAGCGTTCCAAATAACCTGTTAGACATGGTAAAGCTGCTGAATACTTGTTGGATTCAACTCAGTCACGTTGTCCTCTATATGAGATAACTCTTTATGGGGACCAATCGCCCTGTTCTGTGTGCATCTCCGGCGAGTGGCCAGTTCCCTTTGTGTTCCAGGGCCCTGCGCCGACAGCCCGGGCCTCGGGGAGGGCGGCGAGAGCGCTGCGGGCGAATCCCCGGGACCCTCAGAGCAGCTCCTTCCAAGTCTAGGTCTTTCCCCGGCAACACTACCTCTTCTCTCTGCCTTGACTTCGAAAGCCGGGGCGCCAACTTCCCCCACTTCCCCGCCTCATTCTAGCCGCCTCTCCTTCCTCTCCTCCTGGTCTTGAACCCTCTGCCGCAAGTGCGGCGGGTTGGGATGAGAAAGATGCCTGAGGGACACGGCTCCGTACCTGAGGTTCATGTCGCCGTCCACCAGCAGGGACATCAGGTTGGAGAGATTGCCGCCGGGACAGCAGCCGCACAGGAGCACCGCCACGGCGGCCACCTCGTCCAGCGAGAAGACGAGCGCCAGCAGGAAGGCCAGCAGTGGCAGGAAGCCGAACTGGCAGAGCGCGGCCAGCAGCGCGCCCACGGGCCGCCGGACGTGCGCCCCGAAGTGGTTCACGTCCACGGTGCAGCCCAGGCCCAGCATGGTGATGCACAGGGCTGCGCCCACGAACACGTTCAGTCCGTGGTTCAGCGGCGTGTCCCAGAATGGGGGCTCGTGGGGGACCCAGGGCCGAGGGAACGGGGAAGCGCCCAGGCTGCCTGCGCCGCCCGCGAAGCCGCTGGTCGTGGGCCCCGGAGTTGGAGTGGGGCCGGGGCTGAAACTGACGCTGGGACCCGGCGCGAGGCTGAGCCCGGGGCTGGGGCCGGCGCTGGGGGTGGGAGCGCCCGAGAAGTCCGGGCCGGGGCTCTGGCTGCTGGCGTTGGGCGGCAGCGTGTAGTTGTCCGGCTGCAGAGAGGACGGGATGAAGAACAGAGTGGCATTGTCGCTCTGGTTCATGGCGCTGTCGTCGGGCGGCTGCAGGTCTGGCTCCTGTCCGCGCTGCGGATGTCTGTTCCCTCCCGCCGCGCGCGCTGGAGGCCGCCTGTCCGTCCGTCCGTTTCCAAGCCTCGGCTACTGCTCGCCGCTGACGTCTCCGCGGCGTCGGGTGGGGCAGGCCGGTCCGAGGCCTGGCGGGGGCTCGGTGGACGCCCGCCGGCTGGCACTTAAGAGAGCGCAGCCCCGGAGGGTGAGCCCAATCGCCGCGCCCCGCACCCGGCAGGCCCCGCCCCGCCGCCGAGTCCCCTCCTTTTAATCACCAGTAAGTGGTTCTGTTAGAGTGTAGCCAGGGGCGGAACAAAGACCTGACAAAGGACAAGAAGAGGAAAAAAAACGTCCCTGGCTGCTGATCAAGTTCTCTGATGGGCTCTGCCTCTCGATAATGACATCTGGAGACCCAGGCGCGTAGGGACAGAGAAGAAAAACGCTTATCTGTGCACGAACATAAACCGTGTACCCTGTGCAAACAGCCTGCAGTCCTGACCTCAGGAGGTGGGGAGGGGCGGGGGCCGACTTCATAGGGGTGGTTCTCTGGTAGGAAGACACACTCCCTATCTGGCTTTAATTTGCAGGCACAATTTTTAAATTAGATTTTTATGGAATCATACTGGTGGTTTTTGCATAAGCGGGGTCTTGGGCAACTGCTCTTGCACTATTTCATTTGGCCCTAAGAGGGACGCTGTTAGGTCGCCTTTTCCACGCAGGGAATCAGGCTCGGGGAAGTCTCTGCCTCGTCAACCAGACCCACGAGTTCCGGACCGACGTGAGAAGTCACACGTCATTGAAGAGTGCAGCCGCGAGCTCGGCTTAGAAAGGGCTGGGGGCGGTGTGGGGGGTGTGTTTTGTAAGTTATTGGCAGATGGGGAGAGGATATTTCATTGATCATAGATTTATGAATACTATAGCTCTGCTGGCATCAGGATTAAAGGACTGAAAGGAAATAAAGTGGTGAGATCCTATGCTTCAGACAGGTGTTATCCCCCAAACAAATCAAATTCTGAGTCCTTGGGAAAGGAGACTCAACGACTTTGTTGGTCTCTGGATACATCCATCTACAAACACAAGTGAAAGCGGCCTCTCTGCACACCAACCACACAGCCCTCGGAGAAGCGTCTGGCTGTCAGGAAGACCAGAAAGTGACAGCCAGTTGGGCTGTGAAAGCCGACAGGGGACTGTCTAGGCCAAAGTCAAGGATGGGGTTTAGCCTGTGTGGGGTTAGATGCTGGAACGAACTCCTCCTCCTGGGGGCTGGTCCCACCTCTCTCGCCTTCCGACTCCACAGGACACGGACAACTTCCCCTTCTCCACATGGGCTGAGCCAGGCGGAGGAACAGATCCTCGATGTGTTTATATCTTCTCCACCCCAAATCTCCTCAAAATGACAGCGAAAATGAAAAATAAGACTGCCCTGGCTGGCGTAGCTCAGTGGATTGAGCTCGGGCTGCAAACCAAAGTGTCGCAGGTTCGATTCCCAGTCAGGGCACATGCCTGGGTTGCAGGCCACGGCCCCCAGCAACCACACATTGATGTTTCTCTCTCTTTCTCCCTCCCTTCCCTCTCTAAAAATAAATAAATAAAATCTTTAAAAAAAAGAAAAAATAAGACTCAATTCACAACATATTGCATTCTTTTTTCTTTCTTTTTATTATTCTTGTTTATTCTATTACAGTTGGCCCAATTTTTCCCCCTTTGCCCTCCTCGGCCAGGCCCTCCCCCCTCCCACAGTCAGTCCTCACACCGTTGTCCGTGTCCGTGGGTCATTCACACATGTTCTTGGACTAACCCCTTCCCCTTCTTTCCACTATTCCCCCTTGCCCGCCTCCCCTCTGGCAGTCGGTCTGTTCCCTGTTTCCAGATACCGTATTCTTAATCACCAATGATTTATTTCTTCTCCGTGACACACAATTTCTATGAGGGCCGTGCTTCTGCAAGCATTTAGGAAAACAGCAAACCTCATCCTTTCCCAAAACACTAACGAGAAAACAACAACAAATATGTTTTCATTTAGGCTTGTGTAAGCAAAAGAAACCTATTTGGATATACAATGAAGCACACTGGCAGTGTTACTTTGGCTGCGAGAGGTCACCCCGGGGAGGCGTGGGGAAACAGGCTAGATAAGGAGGAGGCGCTGCCAGGCCCTGGGGGGAGATAAGCCCAGAACACACCAGGCAGAGGACGAGCTGAAGCCAGCGCTGCAGGCTCCACTCCCACTTGTCCCCTCCTCCTGTTAATGATGTTACAATCCACAATCACATCAAATAAGCAGCAATTACAGGCAGACCAACTCATCCAACCAGCTCCTCTCGAGGTCTGGGAGGTGTTTTGTTCAATGGGCGAAGCGTCAGAAGCAGAAAAGCCTTGGTTTGTAAGCCAGCAGGATCACTGAACGGGGCCAGCGGACCTGTGTTCTCACCTCCTGATGCGGTTGTTGTCTACGCGAAGGAAGCAGACGTTCTTGCCTCCTCTCTTCTTTCTCATCTCTCCTTCGCTCTTTAGGAGAAAACCCAGACTTAGAAACAGCTCATTCTCCAGGTGGGGTGATGTTGGCACGCTGCGTGGGTCACTTACCTTCCTGGACGGTCTCCCCTTCACGTTGCCTGCCCAGAAGGGAGAGATGTATAGAAGCCGGGGTGACAACATGGCACTCGGAAAGCATGCTATTTGGAGGAAAATTAATTTAGAGCCGTGGTGCACACCATTTGCCAGGTTCCTAGGAGGGTCTAAAATCTATTTAGAGGGATATTTAATGACAAGGGGGAAATTCCTGTGATAAGATCTTAAGCAATAAAACAAGTTAAAAGGCCATAGGCATACACACGCACTCCGTATTTTAGTAAATTTATAAAATGTATACAACTTTAGAGGAAATTTTCCCAATGTATATTACACCTGAGTGCAAGTATTAAAAGTGCCTTTTATTTTTTTCTTTGTATTTTATGGTGTTTTCCAAATTTTGGCCATAAATATATTTTATAATCAAAAAATATAAATGTTATCTTTTAAAGTATAAAATCCAGAGAACTATTGGGCATGTAAGCCTGAATACTTGCAGTCAGCGAGGGCCTCAGTGATCGCTCACAGTGTGTTCCAGGCACCTTACAACCTGCTCAGGGATGTCCCGGCAGGCAGCCTGCTTCTTGCCAGGCCCGCAAGAAGTCGTACGGATGGAAGCCTTGCCAGATGCGGCAAATAAAAACACTGGGTGTCCAGTGAGATTTGAATTTCGGATCAACAATAAATAAAGTATTTGATAGAAAGATGTCACAAATATTCAATATTTTACCTGGCAACCTTACCTGGATAAAGAGGATGAGCGGTGGCGTCTGGGACTAGGGTCTCCATGCTGTTAGGACACACACCCTCCTCTGTGGGGGATATGCCACCTGGGAAAAGAGGAGGCGCAGAACTGGGGCTAGGGATGCTGTCCCAGGATTGGTGAACAGAAAAGAGTGAAGTCCCGCCTGGCCCTCTGGGGCTCTTGGCCTGGTTCCAGGTGGAGAGGGGAGCTGAGGTTCCAAGTTCAATGTGTTTAGAGCTGAACTGCAGTTTCGCGTGAGTTGAAGGAAGCTGCTGAGGCACACAAACACGATGGCAGCAATAGTGTGGGGACGGAGTGGATGTGAACTGCACATACTAATGAGTGGCCAGGCTCTAAAGTGGACTAGGAAGACAGGGAGTGAACCCCAGGGAGGACCAGCGGAGGGGAGTGGACTCCAAGGGTGGCCAGGTGGCGGAAGACCTAGGTAAACACTCCAACCTTACCTGAAACATCTCAGGTCCCTGCAGTCACTCCAGTGCGCTGACTCTCAATAGTTTTCTCCCCCAGACTCCTCCCTGTTCTCCTAGGAGACAACACTCTCTTTGGACAGAAACCCATCAAAATCTCCTAGCATAAAGTACAAGTGGAAGCCACTCCCGTCCTAAAGGATCCTGCTTCTGAGTTGTCAGTGGCCAAGTGAGGGATGGTCCCTAGACCCACTTTTTTAATTTTAAAAAAAGGTTGTATTTATTTATTTTTAGAGAGAAAGGATGGGAGGGAGAAAAAGAGGGAAAGAAACATCGATGTGCTAGAGATACATCAATTGGTTGTCTTTCACATACCCCCTAACTGGGGGACCTGGCCTGCAACCCAGGCACGTGCCCTGACTGGGAATCCAACTGGTGACCTTTTGATTAGCAGGCCAGCACTCAATCTGCTGAGCCACACCATCCAGGCCCCCACGTTAATATAGAATTCGGAGTAATCCTAGGCAGGGGGTAGATTTTAAAGTCAGCTTGTGAGGAGAAATTCATATACAGGTAAAACTGACCTTGAAAATCCTTTAAACTCCCATAAGAGTATAATTATCTTTCTTCATGAAGGCCATGCCAATACTTCCCACCCACCTACCATATTGAGACAGATGGATGTTTTTCAGTTGAGTACCAGACAAAGAAGCTAGCTTGCGTTTAGAGGCTGTGTTATATGAAGTGATGCCCTGGGCCATTTCTCCGGGTTCTCAGGCCACGGCAAGCTCTGGAAGCTGAGACTGGCTGGGGAACAGTGGAGTCCCATCTCCAGGCTCACACTGTACTCACCGAGGCCCAATGGCCGGCAGCGTCCCCCACGCATATCCATCGTCTTTCTCCCGCTTTTCCCTGTTTTACACTCAGTTGAATTTGTGAAGGTTAAAGTGTGCCTATGATGTGACTCTAGGAATGAGGATTCTATGCTCAGTGACTGATGCAGGGGTGGAAAGTGATCCAACCCTAGCCAGTTAGGGTCCTTCCCTGCAAGCTTCTTTTTAAAGTGAGAGCCATGGGGGAAGTTTCCCTTTCCTCTCTTGTTAAGAAGTTGGAAAGTTGTGCACTGGCTGGTGTAGCTCAGTGGATTGAGCACAGGCTGCGAACCAAAGTGTTGCAGGTTTGATTCCCAGTCAGGGTACATGCCTGGGTTGCAGGCCATGACCCCCAGCAACCACACATTGATGATTCTCTCCCTCTCTCTCTCTCTCTCTCTCTCTCTCTCTCTCTCTCTCCCCCCTCCCTTCCCTCTCTAAAAATAAATAAATAAAATCTTAAAAAAAAAGAAGTTGGAACGTTGTGAGCCCAGAAGCTGATACTAACCATCGTTC